CATGTTGTGAGCACCCAGAACAGAAGGCGATGGAAGCACTCTTACATGTGAATCTAAAGCTTCTTCAGTTTCCTTTCGTGCCTATACCCAGGTGGAGGAGGGTCTGTGGGAGGAGGTGCCGCTGACGCTCTACGAAGGCATTGGCTCCGGCGTGGAGGCGCTGCGGTACATGCAGCTCGCGCAGCACATCGGCAAGGTTGTGCTGACACAGCCGTCGCGCATGGGCTGCCGCGCAGATGGCACATACCTTATGAGTGGAGGCGTTGGTGCCCTGGGCTTAGTCACGGCAGAGATGATGGCGGAAGAGGGTGCCAAGTCAATGGTGCTGCTCTCACGCCGGGGAGTCGTTAACCATGCCTCGAGACAGGCGTGGAAGAGGCTAGAGAGCTTTGACATCGAGATCCTGATCAACGCCTGCGACGTGGCACAGAGCGGCGAGGTGGAGGGGCTGGTGGCGACTTTGAAAAGCTCAGTGGAGACAACTCGCACGGTTCGAGGGTTCATTCACTTGGCCGCAGTGCTTGACGACGCAACTTTACCCAATCTCACCCTTGCGCATTTGGAGCGGTCCTATGGAGCAAAGGTTTGGGGGGCCCGACATTTGCACTCCTGCCTGGCCCAGCCCTCCGTGGCGATTCTGGACTTCACCGTGCTTTTCTCATCAATTTCCGCCCTCTTGGGATCGCCTGGCCAGGGCAACTACTCAGCCGCCAATGCTGCCCTGGATGCCCACGCGCGCTGCTGGAAGGACCGGGAGGGGGGAGCTCGCACAGTTATCGGCTTGTCAGATTAGTTCGCCAAGCTTCACTGACATTTGAGGCCTTGGGCGAGCACGCGGTGTCTGTGCAGTGGGGTCCATGGCGTGAAGCAGGCATGGCCACTGAGACGGGAGCCACTGCGCGCCTGAAGGCAAAAGGGCTAGGCAGCATTGGGAACGAGGCTTCCTATCTGCATCAAGCGACAGTGTCCGAGACTAGGCACATGACTCTCTTTGGTGGAAGTACCTGTATGACCGAGGTTGGCATGGCGGCTCTTCAAGCATGTCTCTGCGCTCCAAACAGTGTGTTGGCGGCATGCCCCTTCCGCTGGCAGCAATACCTCAAGCAGCCTCTCGGCACGGCTGCCACAAGACGTAAGCATAAGCACAATTTCAACAGGTCAACAGGCTGAGATCTGCCAAGGTTTGGCAAGGCGGCACCGCCATTCTACTCCCGCCCTTCAGCTGCAGTTGATTGCGTGGGGACGCTTCTTCTTGCAAGTTACAAGAGTTGTCTGCAGGGTTACCTAGTCTGTGAGCTAGAGTTGGCCATGGCTGCACAAGGCCTTTCCTGTGAGAATGGGGTCGTCATTGTCCTTTCCTTGGTGGCAGGTTTCTCTCATGTTGCCACGAGCGCTGACCCGATGACAAAGGAACTCGGCGCAGCTCGGGCGAGAAGATAGATGTTGACTCTGCTGTGGGAGGGCTTCAGTCAACTGCCAGCATGAGTAGAATGCTCCAAGTGGGAAGTGAGGTGGCAGACACTGACATCAGCGCAGATCAGGCCGGGTGTGAGGTTTTGTTGGAGTCAAGTCTGATGCAAAAGCAGCGATGATGAGCGATGCCGTCGTGACGCACAGGTGGAGTCTTTGGTGGTCCAGATTGCCAGTGAGGTCACAGGCACCCTTCTTGGAGTGCAGGAGACGGCGACTTCATGTTAAGAGTGTGGAAAGCCAGTACAAGAGCTTGGCCAATGTCTTGCCAATCCTGGAGCGATGCCAAAATCTAGCACCATGCAATCCCACACGAGAAAAATCGTTTGAGTTTCACACCGAGAAGCCAGGAACCAAATTCGACATGATCTCTAAGCGTTGCCACACCTCCCTTTCTTTTGAACAATACTTGTTCCAATTCCTGTAAGGCGAAGGCGCTAAATCCGGCAGGCACCACACATTTTCTTGCAAACTGAACCTGTTAACTGACGTGCGAAGATGTAAGAAGTGCGTACAACTTAACAGGCCTTTTAAGAGGGGCTTGAGCACAGCCGTGGATGCAGTTCGTTTATCAGGATTGGCCATAGGGATCGCGGGGAGCGAGTGCAATGCCAGTGCAACTGCCTCAAGCTTCCACGCAGAATTAGACACTGCGGGAATATCAACGCTTCAATGTACCCAATCATGTGGTCACCATGTGCGATTTGTGTTTTGAACGTTCATGTTGGTTGCTACCTGCTACATCGTAGGATCAGCTGCTGGATGCCGGGATGGATTCACTTTCGGCGGGGAGCTCTGCGAAACAGGGCTTCGGGTGTAAATGGATGTAATTGGTGCGACGGATTACATGTGCGTGTTTTATCACTTGCTCAGGCCGTGGAATTCCGGAACCGGCTGCAAATTCATGCTTCTGGAGTGCAAATTCCCAACACGCTGGTCCTCGATCACCCAACGCCTGCAGCAATCGGCCTCTTGGAAAGCACAAACCAGTATCTCTATTGCTGGTCTATGACAATTTCTGCATCGCAGGATTGTGTAAGTAGGTCTGCGTGCATTGTGATTGCGCCGTTCTGCATAACATGAGACAGAGCAGGATATGACAAAGGTAACACAGCAAGGCGGACAGAGCAGACCGTGTCAACTTGATGGAGCTGGTTTCAAATTTTCGCACAGTTTTTACACAGCCTGAGCTTGAAGATCAGCAATGCAACTTTTACTCTGGCGCGACCATCCTCCAGACTAGGAGCTGCGGTGTCCGCAACAAAGTTAAGTGACGGCACCTACTTGTGAACTGGCTTTGTGCTACATCTCGGGGGCTGTTATCAACCTCACTATTCACGGCATATCCTGCGAGAAAGCAGTATCCAGAGCAATGCCGCTGTCATTGCTAAGGCATGTTCCTTGCCTCCCAGATGAGCAATGTTGGGACTGTTGGGAGCAGCGGAGAGGCCGGCCCTGCTCTTCAAATGCAAATCACCAAAAGCATTTTGTGGATCACCAAGGAGAATATTGACACACCTGTCCTAAGCAACGTCGCCGAGAACAACTTGGATGTGCAGGCAGTTGAGTCTTACACAGTTGGAACGAACATAGTGGACGGTTCTCTTTGTCTTTCCGAGCCAGGAACGGCGAGTATAAATGTATTAGCTAAGCCCACATCTCACGCGCATAATTGGAATCCCAGCGGCATGATGCTTTGCAGCTCAGACATCATTTTCGTCAGCTGAGGTTGCAACTTAGCGCTTACATATCGGCAGGCAGTCAAGGTGTCAATTCTCGTTCGTGCACGAAGACAGGGTGTCCTAAACTCCAGATTTAAGCTTGTTTGCTTTACGACATTATGATCCTCTGAAACTCCTCGCTAATGTTTGCCGATGATATTCTATAGTTGCTAGTCTCGTTCGGCTATTGTGAAGCGGCTCTCCCGTGCAGGTCTCACCTCCTCCCATGAATATGCACTGATCTCCTTGTGCAACAAACAAAAACGACACGAGTTGGCATTATTGGCACTTTAATGATCTGGAAGCATGTTGTTCATATCAGGAGTGTACTTAACGTAAAAGGCCCGGGACTTTGACAGGTACTGCGGTCAAGCTTCTTCGCAGCTGTGCTTGAGATCAGTGCTTTCAGTATCACTACAAAATGCAACTAGTGTTCAATCGGGACGAAATGAGACGAAACACAGGGACCCCGCCCATCAAAGGCCTACAGAGGGGCGTCGTGGGGTGTTCATTCGGGACGGCTACGGCAGTAATTTAGTCCAGTATTCATATTGGTAGTGACTCGTCACAGTTGTTGTGAATCTTCTTAGTAATGTTGATGCGTTTACAACTGTGAGAGGCTGAGTTGCTCTCATATGCAATAGTGTGAATAGTAGCGATACAGACATAGTATGACCTCTTGCTGTTCGTGTTGAAATAACGATGGCCGCTCGCTGTTGCAAACTCATACGCTATGGCACTTTTCTAATCTTGTTTGCTGAAGGGGTTGGGCCGCGTTGAAGTCGTTTTTAATATCCTGCTTCTGGGAGGCATGCGCGAGGCTGGAGGTGGCTAGCCGCAGCTGAAACCAAAGCAAAAACACTGAAGCAGCCAGTCGAGCTCTTCTCTTGAGATTGCGGGAAATACTGTTGTTACCATTCCACACCTTGACTTTGGATCGCGGCTGGTGCATGTTGAAATCTGAACTGCATCTGGAGGCTCCTTTGAGCACAGAAGCAACCAGACCACAAAATGGAGAGGCTCGGTGTCCTGCTCTTTGGTGGTTTGTTCTTGCTGGATCCGTTGGGAACGATCCTGGAGATTTTTTGCACGTTAGGTTAGGTTGAAGCCTTTTCGCCTTGCCCAGGGAATATCACCCTCCGTGGTTGAATCGCATCAGCGGAAAACGTCCTTCACCATACTGTGTTGTTTGCGCGTCATGCGCCGCGTTAGTTGGCCAGGTCCTCCTCGAGGTCCAATGGGTAGACCTGGACATCCCGCTGAACAGCCGCGATGCTGAGGTGAGGCATGCTCATCAACTGCCATCAGTGTCTTCTGTTTAGGGCCTCAGGAGGGCAGTAAACAGTCTGGAATGCGAGAAATGAGTAAAGGGCATGGAACACAGGGATGGTGTTGGAGGTGTAAATTCCTCGCAGGAACGTCTGCGCAGTGCGCTTGTCAGGTCCCATGCGTTGGTCCAATGATGTTCGTTGGTCTTCGCGATGAAATGCAGCCAGACCTAAAGCACGAGTTTCCAGAGTCTGTGTATCTTGGCAAAGCTGAGGCCGGTTTAGATTGTGCTTTGCTTGCTACTGGTAGAGTGCAAACTTGTAAGTGCTAGGCCACGCATTGTCTGCCGGGAGGCTGCGCGGGAGATTCTGGAGAAGAAGCTGCAGGAGGGTGTCTTCACGGCCGTGGTCCACATCGCGGCTCTTGAGCAGGGGAGCGAACTCGATGTCCTGGAGTCTGCCTTGCTTCTGGCAAAGGCGCATTTTGTTGCCGGTTGCCATTCGACAATCTGACATGACTTGTGCTACATCACTCCGTCTCTTGCTTTGGAATTTGTGCGAAAGCTCTTTGAATCACGGGATGTGGCACAGGTTGGTATGCAGCGAGCAGCTTCCAATCTCAGCATGCCGCCAGTTTGGTGGGTGACACACGGCACTCAGGAGGCCACCATCCCCAACTGCTGGCACTCAGGCCTTTGGGGTCTCGGCAGGACTGTCCGTGTGGAGGAGCCGGCATTACAGCTCCGGTGCCTAGACCTGGACGGCGTTGCACCAGGGTCTTTGGCAAGTGACCTCAAGCATTGGCTCTCGGTTTTGGGCGAAAACAGAGACGAGACGGAAGTTTCAATCGTCAGCGCGACCGAAGCCGAAACGAGCTGTGCCTTTGGTTCAAGATATTTTGAAATTGGCTTGTGTCTTTTCGGTGATACTCTGGTACAGCAGGGCTTACTGGTAATTCATTGAGAACCTAAAGCAGAGAAACTACAAGGTTATCGGAGCACTTACCTGATCTTGTGCCCGACTACAGATTGTTCTGCTAAATTGTTCATCCTGGGGAATACTTTGGTATCATTTTTTCCGGTAAGCTTGGGCCCGACCCCTTGGGCGAGATTCGTGGCGACCTCTTTGAAGTGTTTGCAGTTACCGTCCGGTACACTAGGTCTGCAGTTTCGGAACTTGTGAACCTCGGGCATGCAGCGTCTCTGTTTATCCTAATCAAGTTCAATACACTATCTTCCGAGGACTTTACCCAAAAAGTCTTATCATGAGGAGCGTTGCCGTTAGGTGGAACAATTGATGGTACTGCCTGAGGCTGAAATGCCTGCATGTTTCGGGCCCTTGGCCCTAAACCCTCATGATCATGCGACTTGCAGACTGATCCATGGAATCTGCAAGGGTCGTGGCTGTTTGCTCGACTCTGCACAGGTGCGCGCCCACGGGCTGTTGTACCACGGCTGGTTCACAGCACCGCCAAGACTCCCGAGCCGATGCAAGCCTCCGTGTCCTTTCAGAATGGTTCTTTCCTGCAGCAGCCGGGGGCGCAGTGGTTTTCGCAGTAACTGACAGCAAGCGTTGCTGCCAAGATTTCTTCAGCTTTGCAAACATGAATCTGGCACAAGGCTGAAGGTCCAGGACTCGCGATGCACCCTCCAGCCGACCGACGCGGAAATACGGGTCCGTGCAGTTGGCCTGGCTATACATGACCTCATGGCCATCAAAGGCCTGGTACCTACCTTCTGGCACTCATGGTTGATACCATGGCACCACTTCTCAGCTACAAACATGTCCGGATGGCCCAGGTCTGCATCAGGGTGACGTGAGAACTGCTGGACTAGATTGCGCCGGTCCGGGCCCTAAATTGCTTGCTTGGTGCACCATTGTGGCCGCCAACCGGGTACTGACATGATTCCAAAAGGCTGAGTGGCTTTGTTTCGGGATCGGAGGTACGGTTTTGGCAACAGGCGGTGCTGTCTCACACATTCGTGACTTGGCTACTGCAGACGTGTGCAGCACACCTTGGAGTTACTTCCAGGGAGCTTTATGTTTGCATCATGTTGATGCGGTCAGCGATTGGCAGGCCGCGGCGAAGACGTATTTGGCGCTTCGCCGGGTTGCTTCAAAGCCTACAACTCGGGTCCTGCAACCTTGTTGATGCCCAAGCCACGACATTGGTCATTTGCGCAAGTCTCTTGGTATAAAGCTTGTGCAGATTATAGCTTTTTGGGTGCACGCATCTCGTGTGGTTTGGTCCTGAGGCATGTTGCCTGCCGTCTAATTTCGTTGCCGTTGAGAAAGCTTTCGACGACGCAAAACTTCAGCCTGGCGAGCATGTACTTGTACACTCTGCTGCTGGTGGAACTGGCCTCATGGCCATCCAGTGCGCACAGTACATTGGAGCTCAGGCACTTTGTATCTGCATTCGTCTCGTGCAACCCTTTAAGAACTGTAGAAGTGACTTGCCGTGTGCAAGTGGCTGTTTTTGCAGGTCTACGCGACAGTTAACTCGGAAGATCAGCACAACTTCCTCGGTCGCATCGGAATACAGTTCATCACGAGCAGCCACAACGGTTCCAAGTTTTCCGAAGACATCAAGGTCCCGGATGTGTGCATGAGACACTTCTACAGCTGATTAGTGAAGCTATCTTTGTGGAGCTTGCGAGAGTCGTCGCTTACCAGTCACTTAGGTAGTAGAGAATTAGGTCAAAATCACGTGCAGGACCTTATCTGGTCTTTTCGGGGGGCCCACCCCCCCTCCCCCGCGCCACCACTCAATTGATTGTTTCAGCGCCAACAAGTGGCAACGGTATTGTAAAAGGTTCGGAGGGGGCCCGCCCTCATAAGGTAGCATCAACGCGTGACTTGGGTTTCCCGCAGGTTGCAAGCTGCATGGCAATTGAAGCACTGCTCGTGTGGCCTAGCTTTCGTGGCCCGCTTCTCAAGTTGTTCCCTGGGCAAGTCTAGTTCTTCTCCGATTTTTGAGCGTGGATACCTGGATACACCTTCCGGCAAAAGCATGACAACTGAGACCCACCGAGACACGTCGAGGTGCAAACAAGAGAAAGTTGTGACTGTGTCAGGCGAGCCAGGCGCTCAAGGCAATTACAGCGTTGGTCTCCTCACCCAGCTCAGCACTTATTCTCGCACGAAGCGTTCAGTGTATCTTTCGAGCGGCTTGTGCTGCAGTCAAGCCTGACGCCGACAATGCTCCGTCGCAGCAAATGATGTTCAACCAGACGGACAGTCTCCACACGGCCGGCACAAGTTTGCAACCTATTAGTTTCCAGCGAATGTCCAAGGGCAAGCGCAAGAGAGGCAGAGGCCTCAAAAGCCAGAAGAAGCAGCGATTATAGCAGCGCCTCGCATAGTGAGCAATTTCTTGGAGTGTTACGCGAACATCCGTCCTTACCTTGTCAGAAGATTTTTAGACGGGGTCCACTAACACAGACTGACGTTGACTAGCTCGGCGAAAGCCGACGTTAATATGTTTGACACGCTGCAAGAGAGAGAGAGAGAGAGAG